GAGGCTGAACGTGCTTGCCCTCACTGCATCACATTCCCAGCGACCTGCATGCCTTGAGTGTTTGCTCAAGCTATGCCAAGTACCCAGGACTCTTCTCCCTGCCTTTTACTTGGAGATGCTTTTCCATCTTATAAAGTGCATTTAGTTGTCCCACCGCTGTTTCCCTATTAGTGTGTCATAGAGCTCATCACACTACATGAAAGCTCAAGTCCTGTTTCTTTATTCATTTTGAGGCCAAGCACCCCATACAGTAGCTTGCTCTTTTTTTTTTTTTAAGAGGTTTTTGCTTTAGGGCATGTGTGCTCACCAGAGAGAGAGAGAGAGAGAGAGAGAGAGAGAGAGAGATAAAGAGAGAGAGAGAGAGAATGAGAATGAGAAATCACCTCCGGGGGGATGGCCATGTCACAATCCTTTCTCCTCCATTCTTCTCCACACATGCACTCATACTCGATGTGAGTTTCAAGCTACCAGGTTTGAGACTCGAACCACAGTTGGCTATGTGGGAGTCTAGCGACATAGACACTATGCCATCTGCTGGCCCAGGTAGCTTGCATTCTGGATGATAGTGTGAGTGAAGAGAGAAAGGAACATACTCCAAGACAGGTTGAAGAGGCCCTCCTTGTCCTGGCAGCTGTAAGCTTCCTTCCTCTTAAAAAGGTACCTATGACAACACTGAGTCCGTCCTCTGCTGAGAGCTTCACACATGATGTGATCTATTGCTTAGGATTTTTCTTTGCTAGAAAACGGGCTCAGAATCTACTTAGAGAAAGCTGCAGCAACACAAGGGGAAATGCTTTGAGTGACAGAGCGTATGATCCACTGGCAGGGTGCATGCGTGCCCAAGATCCTGAGAGGAGAATGGAGAAGAAGGGATTGCGGTGTGAACATTCCCCCTGGGGGATGATTTCTCACTTTTTATCTCTCTGTCTCTTTCTGTCTTTCTGGGGAGCACACGTGCCCTAAAGTAAAAATCTCTCCAAAAATAGAAGAAAGAAATAAAATAGAATGTAAGTCAAATAAAATCTCCTGAGAGTCTGGGATTTTAGTTTATATTTCCATGGCTTCCATTTCCTGGATAGTCACTCAGTAATTCCCTCTGAGATCAAGTCCCAACAGTCTACCATAGCACAGGAGGCTGAACGTGCTTGCCCTCACTGCATCACATTCCCAGCGACCTGCATGCCTTGAGTGTTTGCTCAAGCTATGCCAAGTACCCAGGACTCTTCTCCCTGCCTTTTACTTGGAGATGCTTTTCCATCTTATAAAGTGCATTTAGTTGTCCCACCGCTGTTTCCCTATTAGTGTGTCATAGAGCTCATCACACTACATGAAAGCTCAAGTCCTGTTTCTTTATTCATTTTGAGGCCAAGCACCCCATACAGTAGCTTGCTCTTTTTTTTTTTTTAAGAGGTTTTTGCTTTAGGGCATGTGTGCTCACCAGAGAGAGAGAGAGAGAGAGAGAGAGAGAGAGAGAGATAAAGAGAGAGAGAGAGAGAATGAGAATGAGAAATCACCTCCGGGGGGATGGCCATGTCACAATCCTTTCTCCTCCATTCTTCTCCACACATGCACTCATACTCGATGTGAGTTTCAAGCTACCAGGTTTGAGACTCGAACCACAGTTGGCTATGTGGGAGTCTAGCGACATAGACACTATGCCATCTGCTGGCCCAGGTAGCTTGCATTCTGGATGATAGTGTGAGTGAAGAGAGAAAGGAACATACTCCAAGACAGGTTGAAGAGGCCCTCCTTGTCCTGGCAGCTGTAAGCTTCCTTCCTCTTAAAAAGGTACCTATGACAACACTGAGTCCGTCCTCTGCTGAGAGCTTCACACATGATGTGATCTATTGCTTAGGATTTTTCTTTGCTAGAAAACGGGCTCAGAATCTACTTAGAGAAAGCTGCAGCAACACAAGGGGAAATGCTTTGAGTGACAGAGCGTATGATCCACTGGAAGTGTTAGAATGCCAGCTTAAATGTTGTGATCAATTTAGAAACATTAATGCCTATTATGAGCTGCACTCACTATGAACACAATAACACCACTGTCTAGAATATACATTCAAACCCTTGGATTTCAAACAGAACTGGACCCCACAACAGCCAAGATTGATTACCCTGCTAAGAAGAATCAAACTTGACAGGCCGCCATGGGGGAGGCATTTAAATGGGTTTGTTGCCTTGAAATTAGAGCCAGTGTTTGCATTTTTAAACAAATTACTAAAAAAAAAAAATAGTTTACAGGTGAAACATTTCATCTGGAATGCAAATCTATATTTAAACATAGTTTCTTTTTTTTGTTGTTGTTCTATTCCCTCTGATTTAGTAAATTACTTATAATTTTAATTATACTTCAATTGCTTGGTAGTTGACAGGCATTTATTCCTACAATACATCGTATTGACCACCTCCTGCTCTGGGCTTCTTGCAATTAGTTTGTTCTACTGGGCTCTGAAGGGGACAGCTGATGGACACATATGCCAAGTTCCTTCGGTGCGGTTCTCCGGCACTTCACCGAGCTGTCCAACAGCAACTGAGGGGGCCCTGAGTTCCATGCTGTTGGGTGGCAGGGTGCCGGGGCTGACAGGCACGACATGTTCACAGCCACTTGTTTGGAGGAGATGATGCATCTCAGCCCTGAGTGCTGGCAGCCCTTATAGAAAAGGAGCTTACCTAGTTATTGGTAGGCCAACTGCCACATCTACAAAGAAAATGCTAATTTTCTGGTAGAATTTAGCACAGTACAAAGAACCAATCTTCTCTCAGTTGATTATATTAATGGATAGTAGGAAATAGCACTTGGGACCTTGAATTTACATTTGCATGTTTCCAACCAAAAATCCTGATGGAAGTTGGGGCTGAGCATGAGATCTCAGAGGTCATCTTTGTAATCTTCCATCTTTATAGAAGAAACCGGAACCTGAGAGGCCAATGGAAAATTAGGGAGGGAAGACTAGAGCCAGGCCCTTTGTCACTTTACCAGGGGCTCTCAGACAGATCAGGGGGGTGGCTACCCAGATCAGGATAGAAGTCCTGACTGCATCTTTTCTAGTCCAATCTCCAACACTCTGGGAAACTAGAAAATGCCAAATGCTGCAGTAGTGGCTTTCTAGTTTCTAGAAGACATTAGCAAAATTATTAAATCACTTTGCAAAATTCCTGTCCTATCGGAGAAATTGTCACTATACAATAGAAAGGAAGCAAAGAAATGGCCCACAATCCCTCCATCAGAACTTGAAGGAGATTACACCCTCTTAACAGAAACCTGGTTTAGTAAAATCCTGCTCTCTAGCTCTCTGTGACAGGATCAAGAGATGTTAGGTTGAGGCAGGAGCCTTCAGAAGCCAACAGTCACCTGCTGTGCAGTTTAGAAAGGATTGTCCAGGCAGGCTTCTCCAGCTTACTAGCCCCGGGCTTCTGACCCTGGTTTCCTTCTTGGCATGTACAGTTTCCTTCAGTCTTAAGCCCACTCCTAGGGAGACCACATCTAAGCAGTCACTGAGAAGTCTCCTGCTGGGAGATGCTCACTTGGCACTCAGGTCTTCGCTTCATGCCACGTTGGTCCCAGTCCCAGCCCAGAAGGGGTCTCCATCTCACTCTTTGTCCATGGACATATGGAGTGCCTCATGTTCTTGCCCAGACCTGGGTCTCTGACCTCTGTGCCAGCAGAGCCAAACAACTTCCATACCCAGAACTTGCCCTCTTCTCTGGACCCTGTGGAAATGTTCTGTTCAGGACAAGTTCCCTAAGAGCCTCGGCTGGGTTTCCTTACATTCCTGTCTCTTTCCAAAAGAATTCCTTCCAGCCTTCCTCATGCCAGTGTAGTGCAAGTGAGACCCTCTGTGCTCTCCAAGGCCATATCCTGACCATTATTCCCTGAAGTTCCTCGGTCTCCTGCATCCCAAATCTTCTTCCTACTGACTCTATACCCTGATATTCTCTGTGAAGAATACTGCCATTCCCAGTGGTTCACTCTCTCGACCCCAGCTCACAGCAGCCATGCATAGGCTAACCAGGCCTCATAATCCCTCTCTGAGCACAGACTATGGTGCCTGCTCTCACTTGCCCTAATACACCACCTACAGACTCCAAGCATGCTCCATTCCCTGCATGGCAGCCTCATTCTGGCCTCAGGAATGTCCCTGTTGGCCAGAAGATTTAACTCTGTTCTCATTGCTTGACCACCTGCTTTTTGTCTGTTGGGCCTACTAGTCAAGCTCCAGCCCTGGGGAAATTCAACACCTGCCTCTTCTGTTCCTAGACCTGAACAACCCCTGGACCCTGGGCTAGAACCCTCATCTCTAGATTCTTCTGTCATTCCTCAGTTGGGCTTTCCTTGGGGGACACAGCATCCCTCTCTGGCAGTTTGTCTCTTAATTTTGTCTCCAATGTACACTTCACTGTTAGCAAATATGACCCAAAGTTGGAAATAAGGCAGAGAGAGAGGGAGGGTGAGTGAGAGCAGTATGCCTGGAACAAACTCACCAAAGACTATATGATTACCAAGGGGAAGAGGTCTTGGTTTGACTCATTGTTCACTGGAGATGAAAAGACTCAGACTGTAAAAATACATATATTCCTGTATACATTTTCTCTGGTTGTAAATAATTTCTCTAGAAAAGATAACTCTAAAGGTGATAGTTTTACTGCCCTGTAGGACATTGACCAGTTTTAAATGGAACATGGAGGGTTCAGTCCTTTATTAGATGCCCATAAATAGCCAGTTTCTCTAATCCTCTTTGAACCAGCCTCACAATCCTGCTGGTCTGTTCTTGAGTGACTTGCGCACAAATTCATGGTGTATGTGCATTGCAGATATGTTTTTAACATTTTGTAAATGATATTTTAATACCACTTTCCCTTTGCATTTACAGAGCCTTTGTTCTACTCTCAAACTCTTAACAAGCAGCTTGGTTTGTGGTCCAAGTCCAGCTGAGGCCGAACAAACACGGGAATGAGAATATGCTTTATAAAACACCTGAGATTCCCCTTGCTCTCACCTGCCACTGGATCAGAACAGAGGAAGTGGTGTGCGGTGTTGCTGAGACAGACCCTGGAGGTTCTCCTGGAACTGGAACCCAAGGAAGAAAGAAGGGATTAGAATGCTCTGTTAGTATCTGGCAGTCCTTCCTGGGCTAGTACTCAGGGAGTATGGGAGCCAACAGCACCACCTCCCTTCCTCTCCCTGGACATCCTTCTCTTCACGATTCCTCAGAACTTCCTGAGGTTCCTCCTTAAAATCTGTGCCTGAGACAAAAGGGACCCAGTCGTAATAAAAGGGGCAATAAAGTAAGGAACTGACTTTACCCATCACACACTGACCCAAATAGAGACACCCAAATGGGTTCAATCTCTCCATGGCAAACTTTCTGAAAGTTTCACCAGAAGACATTAGAAAAAAAATTTAAATCACTTTGCAATGCTACATTCCTGTCCTATCCAGAGAAGGTGGATAATGATTGATGATAGCAGCTCCCTGCCCGGAGACCCTCTCTGTGGCTCCTGAATCTTCAGGAGGAGGGGTATACACATCATTTTTTGGAAGTACTTAGATCAGAGCTACTTTCACTGAGTAGGAAAATGGTCAAGTCAGGTCACCATTTGAAATGTGACTGTCATTAGATGCTGGTTTCTGGTGAGGCTGCGCAGCTTGTTGGACAGCAAGTCTCCTGCTGTTCTACTTCAGTGGTGAACTCTCTACTTAGCTTCCCTGGTAGAGCCTGCCACAGGAGACTGCAGCTACAGGGGCTCTCAACGTCCTCCAGTTACAAGGTTGTGCAGGGAAATTAAAATCACCTTAATAAGAAAATGCTTATCAGTAAATCATCCATATACTCAAAGGACCCTCCCAACCTAGCTAAGGGTTCCCGCGGAGTCATTCTGCTCCTGTCAATCTCTGGCTGATAGCTGGAGACAATACAACACAACTACAATGCAAATCCACAGGCAAAGAGAAATTGCAAATCTCAGAGAAGGAAGATGACAAGATAGGTGCATCAAAAGCACTTATTTGAATATCAAAGGATTAAGAAAGGCCTTCAGAAGAGGCTGAAGAGGTTCTTGAATATTTTTTTCCAAAAATGGCCCATGCAGGTTGAGCAGTGCCAGGTCTGAGGGAGACTGTTATATCTCGTGCTCATACAATTTTGTCAGAGATATTACAACAATAAGATCAGCTTGCTATGTGCTTTTCCTTTATTCTAAGAATTAGTGCTTAGTTGCAAATATTACCTCCATTGTGTTAAACATAAGATTAAAATGAATACGTTTACATGTTTGGTTTTGTATTTTAATTCCAATAGACTCTCCCTTGTGGTTTAGTGTGAAATCAGTCAAAACTTTAAGTGGATTCATGGTAAAGGCTTCTATGGTTACAAGTTGCCTCAGCCTCCAAAAACCCCTAGGTGTGCTCTTTAGTTTCAACCCCCACCTGACATTATGAGTTCTCTGGGGCTGATCCTGACCCATGTGGTGCATGCACAAACTATCTTTCCCTGAGTGTCTGTCCTCTTCTTTCCTCCTCACTGGCTTTCCCCTGGCTTTCCTAAATTCCCAGGCTTAGTGCACAAGAAATAGTGTGGGTGAGCAAGCAAGCCACAGAAGAAAAACATTAAATGTCAAGGGGCAGGTCTGGCCTTTACAGAGAGCACAGCTGGGAGGAGCCTCAGAGGTCAGAAGGCGCTTTTCATCAGGGGTACAGACCTGTGCAGATTCTGCTCCACTGGGAATGCTGAGTTTGCAGCAAATAGTCTTTACGTGTTGCTGAGAAGCCAAGAATGGTTCACCTTAACCCCTGTGTTGGTCCCTAAGGTCATGTGAGGCCTTATGTTGGAGAAACTAAACTTCCAGGTTATAAAAAGAGCAGAACTAGAGATGTGAGGTCACAAGGTGAGCCTGCTGGAAGCTGGTTTATTTGAAAATTGTTCCAGTGGTGCATTAAATGGAAGAGACAGTGCTTTGGGGATAGGTTTGGGGAATGATTATAAAGCACTGCTGGGTGAACCAAGCGTTCAGATTTCTGGTCTGCAGTGTCTGTTACACAATATCCATTCTTTCCCATCCCACAGGTCTGACTGTCATCACAGGACATGTCTGATGGAGCTGTCTTCCAGGCTCACTGCAGCCTGGCAAGTTCAGTCACAAAAAATTAGAATTAATCTCCAAGACAGGACAGAGGGGGAGAAAAACTACCTAGACATTTGAGGGGATCTCATTTCCCATCACTTACCTGTGCTATTGTCAGATGGAGTGGCTTGTGAATTAGAAAACTTGGGGAAACCTTGTAAAACCCCGCTACCCACTGACATTTATTTTTCATGACCCTATCCATTATTTAATTTCTTGGATGCTAATGGATGGTAGAGGCTTTGGAAACCAATCAAAGAAACTTTCATTCTATTTGGAAGCCCTTGAAGCTGTGATTTACGACCACAGAGTGTACAGGAACACTCTAAGCTGTCTGTTTCTAATGGAATTCTACTGCTCACCATGCTCCCTGGTGACCCCTTCTTGGCTCAATACAAGGGTGGGGCCTCTCTCTAGTAGCTGGTGTCTCAGAGAGCGTGCCCTAGCATGCTCACCATCTTGCAGTGTGGTCACTGCCTCAGTCTCTGAACTGAAGTCACTGTCCCCAATGTCGTTGGTGGCTTTCAGGCGTAGCTTGTAGGAGGTGAAGGGTCTCAGTCTGAAATGTAGAAGAGATTTGTGAGTGCTTGGGTAACCTGTCACCCAGCCCTGCCCTCAGGTGCTCCTGGTGAAGAAGCAGAAAGAGGAACATATCTCTTTTCTTCCCGAATGTCCGGGCACCTGTGTGAGCGAAGAGACATTATCCTGGAACAAGGAGGCTATTTTTTGGAGGGACGGAATCACTCCCAAGCTACAGTGAGCAAGGACTTAAGGGTTCCTTGAATATGGTCAGAGAGTCGCCCTTGAACACTCAGGACTGTCTTAATGCCTAGTGAGAGAGAAATTTCAGAGGAGGTGAATGCAGACCTTCTTGGCTAAGGGACAGAGATTTTGCTAAGGGCTCCTTAGGGAGGCACCAACCTCCTGAGGAGGTCGGTAATTAGATATCCTTGTGCAGCAAATCACTGCTCTCTGAGGAACTCAGTGAATTTCTCAGGAGGTTCTAATTAGATTAGTGCTCACACTCATCCATGGCATAAAATGAGTTCCCACCTAACTCACTTCCTTGCTCCCCTCTAAATGCTCCTTTGTGGAGGTCTGCACTGGTCAGGCCTGCCCTCACTGGCCTCTCCAAGGTCTAAGTCCTGCCTCAGTCATAGGCCAAGCCCCACCTGAATCCCTACCCCTTCCATTTACTGAGCCAAGCACTTGGCAAGCATGACCCCATTGAATCTGCACAACAGCTCTGAGAGGTGGGAGTTGTAATTATTCCCATTTCAAGGCTAAGAATCAGAGCCCCACCAGAATCCCTACCCCTTCCATTTACTGAGCCAGACATTATGCCAAGCACTTGGCAAGCATGACTCCATTGAATCTGCACAACAGCTCTGAGAGGTGGGAGTTGTAATTATTCCCATTTCAAGGCTAAGAATCAGATTAATTCACCTGCTCATTGCCAAAGGACTTGTAAATTGCTTGGTCTGTACTGGAATAAGGGGTTTGTCTTAGAGTAACATTCAGATGTCATTTTACGTAAGACTACATCCATGTCAGTTGTCCATGAATAAAATGTCCCCAGTCTTTGATGGAGGTTTTAGGGGCACTAATGCTCCCCTGGAGTACTGCTTGATTACCACTTCTGGCTTCCTTCTATTCTTCCTCCCTACCTTCCATCCATCCAAGTCATTGTATATCTTTTGGGTCTGTTAAAGTTCATTTACTTGGAAGCATGCAGGTAAGGAAGCTACATTATTCTTTAGCTGTGTTATTCTTCTTTAGCAGCAGCTCCACCATCTGTTTCCTAGACCAGAAGACGGAATAATGGAGACTCTAGCTCCTGTCCTTCAGGTCCACATTATCTCCTAGTTTCCTTGACTATCAGTCTAAACTGAAGCCTTCATTACCTGAAATCATCTCTTCACTCCCAATCCAATCTGTAAATTAGTGATTTTTAAACTGAGCATTATGGAACCCCTAAGACTCTGAGGAATCCTCTGTGGGTCCATAGCCCTATACCACCTGCATCAACCAACAGTAGCCTTTCTTCTACCTGATTGATACATTCAGTTCTGGGTAATATTTTGTATAAAGAAAGGATTCTGCTTTTTAGAAAATTGATAACCCATTTCTAGAAACCATGATCAAAACCTTTCCCCCTATTCCTGCTTTCAGTTACCCTCCTGCTCAAGACCACATTAGAGTGTTTCTTAATCAGCCAGCACCTCAAGGAATGCTCTTCCTGTAAAGCCTTCCAGGACCTGATTTTACCTTGCTACTTCTGAGTCCTTGACTACAGGTGTATCTCAGCCTCTCTACACTCAACTCCCACAGCTGAAAAAAGCAATGGCAGGAGGCAGTCCAGCCTCAAATCTGGCTTTAATGCTTCTAAAGTCTCACTTTCTTAATGGTTAGGTTTTGGGGAGATAGCCTGTGTTAAAATGAACAAATAACTTCCTGTCTAATCCTAGCATCCTGGAAGTTTTTTTTTATATATATATCTTGATGGCAACTCATGTTTTTTTCCTGTGACTTCCCTGCCTTACTCCCCTGAGTCCTCACATGTGCATGGCCAACTCCTTCTCCCTCGGAAGTTTTCTTGTTATATATCTTGATGGCAACTCATATGTTTTTTCCTGTGACTTCCCTGCCTTACTCCCCTGAGTCCTCACATGTGCATGGCCAACTCCTTCTCCCTCTTCTTGTATCAGCAGGCAGGACAGAATGGTTCTTAGGACATGATCTCTGAAGTCAAACTGCCTAGTTTCTAATGTCAAGTTAACCTTGGACAGGTTACTTTGCCTCAGTTTCCTTATCTGGGCTGATAACAGTACTGACATTATGAGGTTGATATGAGGATTAAATTAATGTGAAGCACTTGGGAAAGAGCATGGCACACGATATGTGCTCACTAAATATTCACTGTTATTATTGTTCTTTATGTATCAAGTTAAATCACTAAAGAAATACCTGTTTTCTGCCAGTCGTCCTCTTCACCCTGTTCATTTCCTTTATCTTCTTTATCACAGTTTGTAATTAATTATTTCCTTGATGACTACCTGTTTTCTTTTCAAAACTCAAAACTGAGGACAATGACCAAGAAAGCCTTATTTACTGCTGCAGCCCCAGCACCAACCATAGTGCTAGGAGGTACTCGGTGACTATTTGTTGAAGGAAGAAATGAATAAGACTATCACCTGTCACCAACTTTCTTGGAGGTTTACGGGGTTGAATAAGAGGACACATGTAAACACCAGCACAAAATCTGGCACATAGTAGATGCTCCATAAATGACTCCTGTCATTTTACTTAGCACTACACAGTCTAGAATTTCTTTGTTTGCTAACAATTTGGGAATTTGGGGCCACATGGAAC